ATGTAAACAGACAGGGAATGGCGTGGTAGACCCATGTTATAGGATCAGAAACTATAATAGCTTTGGACACCCAACTTGGTATGTAGACCTGTGGTATCCATTTATTATTATCTTTAGTTTTATTTACTTTAAGATCTCAATTGTATTGATTTTTTGTATATATGTATATATTTATATATTTTTTTCTTTTTTCTTTCACATCGACTGCATTGTTTGTCGTTGAAATAAATAAAATACAAAAAGCAATTTGATTACAAACTATACTTAACTCCATTATATAATTAAGATGCTTCTATAGTGCCTCACTATAATCTGAAGATATCAATGAAGCGCTAGATAAAGTTAATACTCACACAACGAATTACAAATCTAAATTAGTTGACGAAACGTCCAATTAAAAAGTGCACAAATAATGTAGAATGGCACAAGAAAAATAAGAATTTAAAGCTCAAATACTCTGAAGTATGCTTTAGTTGTTAGATAGAAAAGGTGACAGATATTGAATGAACGTCAAAGAGATTGTTCTTTGTTATAAATACAGGATGTTCACAAGCCATAATGAACCTTTTCGCCTACTCTCTACCCACGCTGTCTGCAGCTTAGAAGTGTCTAATTATCCATATTTGGGTAACCTCGGACCACACATAGCTATGAGTCTTGCCGTACTAGCTGATAAATCGTTCACCGAAAGATACATTTCGAATACATGTTTTATTTTCGGATTAATTTTTTTGTTAAGTGGTTCATTTATTTATAGTATTAGATATTATTGTTAGTTTTTATATTGAGATTTGAATTTGTTGAAAAAAGTGACTGCACAGTATCCTGGTACCAAAAATGATGTAAACCAATAAATCCACCATTCATAAGGTCCAATAAAGAAACCAACAGGCGCAATGTTGATGGAAAGAAATGCGATATAAAGTGCTTCAATATATGAAGGTATATTTCAAGATAAACAGAAGGAAAGTACTGTTCAGCCAATAATTCAACAGTGCATTGGAAATATTGAAGTATTGCTACAACTATAATAACTATAACTATAATAATAATAGCGAGTGTACCTCGTACTTCCAAAACTACGCCAAGTACAAGTATAATTGTTTATTTACTCTCAAGAGGAGCTAAAATATGGCTTAATCAAATGTATATTTTGCTACAATTTGTATATTGATATATCGATATTCGACTTCATATAGCTCTCTTTGGTGGACTCTATTATTATTTTTAGATATATATAAATTTTTTGGTTATCAATATTCCTATTGATAGATTGGACAATTCTAGCAATATAGGTCGCTAAGTGGATTTTCATTAAAATGCTTCGCTCATGCTGCAACGGTTTCCTTTTTAGATCACCCTATCTATGGGACTTTAATTTAGCATACAAGTATTCAGAATATAGTCCTGCTGTCGGCCTGTTGTCCTGTTGTCCTGACTGCCTGTCTGCCTGGCTGCCTGCCTGTGCGCCCATGCATGATCATCACCCAATAAACGCTCAATATACAATTCAAATTAACCGGAAGACTGTGAAACACATGCGCAGCCTAATCGCCAAGTGCTCCTAATTGCGAGCCATGCACACATGTCCGGGAAAGGACTTGTGCATGTACGTGTACCTGTGTATGTCTATATATAATTCCAGTATATTACGGGGCGGTCAGTCAAACACCTGATCGAGTGCATTGAGGCGTGTAAAAGGTGTAGAAAGGCCGGAAAGCAACTGACGTTCAACGACATCGACATCGACATCAAATATTGCAGCCGGCGCGTGGACAAGACCGAGGCCGTGGCTGAGGCCGAGTCCAAGACCTAGACGCACAGACCCTAAAATTGCTGCTGACTGCGTTTAACATTCAGAGCTACCCCTACTCCTTCTGCCCTCCCACTCCTTCTCCTACTCCTACTCCTACTCCTACTTCTACTCCATCCTGCCATAGCTAGCTTACGTTGCACAGCCCGAGCAATTAATAATTATTATGAGCAATGTGCAGAGCGTATAAATTTCATGGGCAATTTGTAGGGGGCGGGGGTTGGTGGCAGGGGCAGTAGCAAGGGTGTGGGTGTGGGTGTGGGTGTGGGCGGTTCTGTTGTGTGGGTGCTGAACTGAGTTGAGCTGCGCAGGCGCTAGTGTTGCCTTCAAAGAGTGTGACGAGGACGAGGGCGCACTAAAGGGCGATGGCTATGGCGAGGACACGGGCGAGGACGAGGCCGCTGATGAGGATGAGGACGTTTTGAACGGCCCATGCACCGCAAAGTAAATTTGTGAATGGTTAATGAAAAGTTCAGGAAAAACAACAACATAGCTGCAAATTGCTGTTGAAGTTCAAACCAAGCGACAGGGCGGGGGGGGGGGGGGGGGCTTCGATAAGTTGGGGAGTGACGCTTTCTCTGCTTACTCATTACTTTTAATGAACAGGTGGGGTGGTCTATAGGAGTGCGTGGGCTTGGGGTGGGTGGATGCAAGGGGGTGGGGGGTCGTGTACGGTGGGTGGGAATTGGTTAGGCGCACAGGTGATGGGCAAATGTCATAAATTGTTGCCAGTTCAGTTGCAACTTTGACTCGAGCGAGGGTGGGTCTATATGTAAATTTATATAGCATATTTACACGCAACATTTAGCTGTGGCTTCAAATATTTACACTGATTCCACACACAAACTCACACAACACACGCATACAGGTGCATGTGTAGGCGAGACGAGGCTTTTTCTATATATTATAGATAGATACTTATACCTACTCGTATGTTTGTATGTCTGATTGGGGTTGACGTTTCGTCTACTTTCTGTTCATGTTTTTCTACTCCTCGTATTGCCTGGGGGCGGCCAAATTAATGAACCTTGAAAAATGTGTTAAAAGTTTTTTACTACCATAGTTGAATTGATATTTTGTATATTTACTGGGGCTTGTCTTATTTTTTATTTTCCCATCCCTTGCCGCTTCAAAACTAGGTAAAAAAAAATAAAAACAGAAAAACAAGTGAGGGACACAAAACCGAAACGTGCCATTCCTAACCCTTTCACCTCCTTTTTTCCTAACGCCAGGCCCCAAATATTTGTAAGGACTTCTACTTGTCAGTATGGCTTGCACAAAAGGCAGATTCTCCGCTTCATGGCATGCATGTTTTCCGGTTTCAAAAGCAAAAAGCGAAACAAAATTGCACAGCTATTTTGTGAATTGATGAATGGCGTTTAATATAAAATAAAATATTTTTATATGCACACCAAGAATCAAAACAGACCTTATTTTCACATTTGCCATTTCAAGGCATAATTAAATCGTTTTAATACTTGAAAGGAATCGTGAGAAAAACCACCTAGTGCATATTTTTTGAGCTATATAACGAAAAGATTCCATTTAGTTAGACACATACAAAAAGCGCAACCTATTTTTTTAGCCTGTTTGATCTATGAATTCAACATTTGTATTTCCAAATACCACATAATCTATTTATGTTTTGAACAACTTAAGACTATCTAAGCAAACAGATTAGATTGCTTTACAATGTCTGCTTAATAGTTTGCTAAGATTAATATTAAAACAAATGTCTCTGCTTTTTCTTTAAGTTCAATCCCAGCTAATTTTTTAATTAAAATCAATTATGCGTTTTTAATGCCCATCTAATTATTTACAAATATAAAATTAAATCTCTCCTGATTGGATACTTTTATGACGTTTCGTAGTCAGGAAGGCTCGATTTTAATAATTTAATTTTAAATATAATATTTGCAGCTAAAGGAACTGTGGATTCTTGCTTTAACAAATAAAGCTGGTTTTTAACTGAAAATTTTAGGTTTGTCTGTCAAAGACGACCACAAAAAAGAAACATGTCTGGTATGTTTAATAATCCAAAAACTATTACTATTTTGCACATTGCCTCGGTATAACAAAGACAAGTGGATGCAATTATTTAAAATCTCTAAATCAGAACTCTGAAGAAAATGTTGCATACTTCTAGGCTCTGCTAGAAAAGATCAAAGTTTGTGTAATCCTATTGAAAAGGAGAAGATATAGTAGCTTCTGATATAAACAGAAATGTTCCTGCAATGGATGCATATTGCTTATAGGACTGGGAATGTTCAAGATTCCTAGGAGTTAATACCACAATTACATATTTATTAAACAGACATAATTATGTTTTGCATTAAAACTTTTGATATAAGAAATAAATGAATCTGTACAATTGTATGTATAGTATATACTTGTATATTTTAATTTGTTATCTAAATGAGTTGTTGGCGCTTCATTAGAATCTTATCTCTGCTTAATTGCCATTCGAATCGGATGCCTTACATTTGTGACTTTTTCTTGTGCTTGAGAAAATGAGGAAATGCTTTAATTTCCACTTCCAGCCATTCGTTTGTCAACACATTAATATTGATGTGTGATTATGAATCAAGGGAATTTCCTTATTCAGCTGGTTGCTGAAATACCTCGTATATATCCAATGGAACCAAAAATATTTCTACATGCCACCAACGAAAACAATTTGCTTGCAGCAGTTGAAGGGATCTTGATATACTATAGAAGTAGTATGTGTGTACATATGAGCAACTTGTTGAAGTTGTTTGCAAAATGAAAAAGGACAACAGCAACAACAGCAATAGGACATTGCCGTTTGCTGTTAAATGTAAAAAATGTTGCACACATGTGTGAAGAAAAACAAAAACAGGGAAAACGAAGCCACGCTCGCGTAGAGTAAGCAATAAATTAGTTGAACTTTGCACACTCACATTCAAGCCTTTTGGGTTGTTGATGTTGTTGCTTTTAATTCTATACTTTTGTTTGGCTAACAACCGAACAAAATGCAGCAACAACGAGTGAAAAGAAGAATAAAAGGCCAGCGTGAATGGCAAAAGAAATGCTTGAGATTTGTTTAATTACATCCGGCTGCCGTTCCACAACAAAATGGCGCCCGATGGTGTGTGTGTGTGTTTGTGTGTGTGAATTAGAAAGTGTGTGAGTGTGTTGGTGGGGGGGGGGGGGGTCTAGCACTTACGATATCCATTGGTATATGCCCGAGACCGTCAGTTCACCCTTATCCTCGAGGGCGTATTCGATGAGCTCCGTATATGTAAACGGTGGTTTCTTTGGCCTGCTTGTTTTGCGGTGGTGGGTGGCAGTCGGTGGTGGGTGGCAGTCGGTGGTTGATGGTTCGGCGGTTCGGCGGTTGGGTGGTTGGGTGGTCGGCATCACATCGATTGGTGGCGGCGACGGTGGCATTAGGTAGACGGTTGTTGGCAGCCCATGAAATAGAAAATGTCGGAAAGAAAAACGGCAGTGTGAAAATAGAGAATAGCAGGCCAATTATATATATGTATGTACATACATACTGTACATCATACTTGTATGTATATAAGTATACACTATATTTATGTACACACTCGTGTATGCACTGGCAAGTGCTGGTGGGTGGGAATGTTTAGGTGTTCAGGGCACACTGCAGTGCTTCAATGAAAGGTTTACATTTCCGCTATGTTCTTCATTTGATTTTTCGGGCAAGTTGGAAAACTGTTGTAAAATGTTTGACAACAAGCTGTGATTTTAATTGCTGCGGTTCGGGGAGGCTTTCGAGGAAATTGGATTAAGTAAGCCCGACGGAGTGTATCCGGTCTGGCTTAATCGCACCTACTATACAATTATTGGTCGATTATAGCTACTATATGTATAACTGAAATTATCATCCAACTCCTTTATTTGCTAAGCCATTGCGAATTCTCCATTCAATTATGGACCTTTCAAATACAAATTCAGCCTATGGAACGATGAAACTAACTAAATTATTATAAACCCAACAATGCAGGCATAGGAAAGGATGTACATTTGTCGAATTATTCTTTTATATTCAAACCTATATATATATATATAGTATATTCAACCGATTTTCACCAACAGCGAATGGAACAGTGGAATTTATTTAGCTAAGAATTCAAAGCTGTACACAAGTCGATGGTTTTTTTTATCGCCTAGAATTTTGAATGCACTTTTTATACTCTGTACATGAAATGTACAGAAGTATATTAAGTTTGCGGGAGCTGGAAAATGTAACAGGCAGAAGGAGGCGTGCCAGACCCCACAAAGTATATATGCATATTCTTCATGTCTGTCTGTCTGTCCGTCTGTCCGTCCGTATGAACGCCTGGATCTCAGAGACTATAAGAGATAGAGACACCAAATTTTGCACAAAGATGCCTTATGAGTGTATTCTATACGAGTTTGTTTTATTTTTTTGATGTTCCCCCCCCCACTTCCCCCCTATGGGGGTTTTCCCGATTTTGCATTCGTATAATCGCCTATATCTCGGAGACTATAAGAACTAGGAATACCATATTTTAGTCCAAGATGCCTTGTGTAAATACGCAGAAAATGTATGTATGTTTTGGAATTTCCCTCCCTCCCCCCTCTCCCCTGCAAATCGCGATTTTCTCTAACTCCCGTAATTCATGGAATTTCGAACGCAAATTTTGCAAATACCCCCAGTTAGTTATTATGTGTCCGTATGCCAAGTTTCACTATGATAGACCGATTTAACAAGAAGTTATAGCCATAAATATATTTGCTGCTGCAGCGCTGCTCAAGCGCTGCCCGCGGCTGTTGTTCATGTTGCTGTTTGGTTGACTGCTAACATGTTTACACAGACACGAATAGATGCGCATAGGCATACATACACTCACACAGACGCAATTGCTATGTAAATGTGCAATTATACACCCTTTACGTGAGTTCGAATACCGAAAATCGATCAAAAATTTTTTTTTTAATTTTCTTAATTTTTTAATTTCCTTAATTATTGTAAACATATGTACAGAGTATTTCAAAGACGGGACACCCGACTTTAGCTTTTTTACTTGTTTAAGTCTTTTAGTTTATTTTTGCTATTAAACTTTTTAGTTATTATTTCTCATGAACTGATTTTGCAATAAATTAAAATGCCTTTACGTGTTAACCTCCAATAATCTGCAAACAGATGTCTGCCGAATAGAATTTGCTGCATCGGTTCCCCAATTGTCTGCTGCAGATGATTGAAAATGATTGATGATGATTGATTCTTAAAAGCAAGTGCCAAAATTATTATTTTAGGGATCTTCCCACACACACCCAAATCTCAATATTTTAAGTTTCAAAATTTGCTATAATTTTTGCATTCTATGCAAAGCAAATGTAGAAATTTAGATGGATCTTTTGAAATAATTCGGCAGTTGGATTTAGTATGAAGAATGTGTACTTCTTCTCTTTTAATTAAGAAAAATAGCCGCTTCAGGAGCTGCGGAAGAACATTTTATATTCTTATGGGATGTTAGCGATCATTTAAGACTAACAAATCTGTTGTACTGGGAGCATTCGCATTTGTTTTTGTCAGACCCTAGACATAGATTCGGCAAGCCAATTATGTGCGTATCTTGTCCTAGCTTAAAAAACATTATAGTTGTCTATAACATGCCACTTGCTTTGATTAGCCATTAAGGTATGGGAAATAGGCCCACTTATACAGGCAGGCCGAGAAATAAGATTTCTGTTTAGTTGCATTATTTGGAATACGTTAGATCATACGTTTTTCAAATAGCTATGATTTTGTAGTTTAAAAGGATACAAAATCTAAGCTAGCATAAAAAAATAATCGGATTTTAATGCAGTCTTTGGTTTACTTCCATATCGACAATAACATTGCATTGGATTCAATATAAACTGTTAATAATAAAGCGTTTTGTTTTAGATCTTGCTGGCAACCTAATTCCAGGAAAAATTTAATTGAAATGATGTTGATTATTTGTATTAAGGAGAATGCTAAGTAAATGCTATGAAGACACACTTTCTTAAATGGGAATGGAAACCAACTGATGATTAGCTAATTTTTTATTGAAAACTGCTATTTGGTGTTTCAATTGCCTGAACTTTTCGAATACTCTCGAATAATATATTATAATACTTGTATTATATTTAAGTCAAATACAAACCGGATTCTCAGTATTTGAATTTTGAAAATGATATTTACTATATGTCTGAATTATAAGCGTTATTTACAAGCTTTGTTGGGCTATCTCGTATATTGCCAGATCTGGGGACGAACTTTAGATATGGGAAATGTATCTGAAATTTCTTCAATTTGAACAGATAGTAGTAATTTTTCATATTGGGATCACATTTCTGCACTCAGAAAATGAAATCAAGTACGCTATCTGAGTCAATAGTTGTTAGTTAGTTTTAAATAGATTTGTATATCTTTGATGAGAAATAGAAGATCGTTTTAGGATCGTACATAAATTAAATTATCTAGAAAATTGGAAAGAGAAACTGTTTGAAATTTTTAGAAGTGTAAATGCCTTTTTTCTATCAATATTAGTGTTATTTTTTGCATTGGAAAGAGAAACTGTTTAATATTTATAGAATTGTACATTTTTTTTCCTATCAGAAATATAACTCCAATATTTAATGTGCTACTACTTGCTTCTTTCTTGCGTCTTTTCAATGACGAATAACTAATAAAGTCCAGTAAACATAATTATTTAACAATAGTGTGCAATTATTTAAAAGCCACTTTATACTCGACTTAGCTTCCTCTATCTTTCCCGAAGTGTTCGGATTCTACTCAGAAATGTAGCAATAGTTGCAGGATATGGACCACAGATCTATTTTGGTGTGTGTCTTAAGTCAGACGGTCAGACATGCAAATAATTTGCATCTCTAGCACTAAAGGGAGGCGTGCCTTATTGGTTGAAGAGCACTGAGAAGAGTTATACTTCTATAGATATATCCATTGTCAAAAGTGTAGAGTGGCTTTCGATGGACGGACGGTCTAATAATTAGGGCTAAGTACTCACGCTTTGGATGCTGTATCCTCGACAACCACATGCTCGGCAACAATCATGTCGTTGCCGTCCAACTCGGAGGTGACCTCCATGACCAGCTCCTCGAACTTGCGACCCGTCTTTGTGGTGGTCGTTGTTGTTGTCATTGGCCCCGATGTTGCTGTTGTTGTAGCCCCATTTTTGGGGGAGCGTGCCCGCTGGTCCAGCGCCAGGGTCGAGGAGCTCGAATTGTGGGAATGATTCGAATTGGACGCGGGCGAGGCTGAGTTTGATTTGTTGTTGTAGACTGATGGTGGCGATGTGCCGGCCGCTGTGGGCGCGGCAGCATCCATTAGGCTGCCAGTTAAGCCAGCAGGGGTCTGAGCCAACCGAGCATTGGCGCCCACATCGGGCGACAGGTGTGGGAACTCATCGAACTTGAAGTTCAGCAGCCAGGAGAGATTCTTGTCCTCGAAATCCGCTTCCGACTCGCTCGACGGGGAGCGCATCTTGAGGCCGGCATTGCCGTTGGGCAGCTGCATGGACCGATTGCCCTGGCTGGACTGCTTCTGAGGAACTAGGAAACTGTTGGACGATGAGTGTTGTTGGTGCTGTTGCTGCTGTTGCTGCTGTTGGTGCTGGGCAGCCGACGGCGTTGCTTGCATGGACGAGACGCCCGGCAGCGTGGCATTAAGCTGGCCCAGTTCCGCTTGTAGGCCCGAATTGTAGCGATGGTCCAGCTCCAGGAGATCGGTGGCCTGCCAGCTGGCGTCGGCATCGAAGCTGGCCACAGCATTGGCGGCGTTGGAACCTCCGCCTGTGGCACACACGCTGATGGTGGGCGCACTGAAGGTCGACAGCGTACTGGCCCCGCAGTAGGCGGCTGTGGGGCTGCAGGCCGCGCCCACTGGGACCAACAGGCTGGCATCGTAGGCGAACAGATCGTTGATGAAGGCAGCCGTGCACGACGAGGCGGACGAGGAGGCGGAGGAGACAGCAGTGCCGATCGCAGTCGATTGACTAACGGTGGCGGCGCTTGGGTCCAGCTGCAGTTGGAAGGACATGTCGGCGCTGCTGACGTCCAGAGACGGTTCCTGGCCATGACCACTTCGGCTGCCCTCGTAGTCCAACAAGGGTGCGTAGCTGTCGCGAGTCTCCACATGCCGTTTCTTCCAGGGATTGGACTCCTGCCCGGTGTAGCTCGGCAGCGGTAGCGCGTGAATCGCTCGTTGCTGGTGTTGTTGCTGTTCGGCCTCGTATTTGCGCTTCAAAAAGTTATAATCACATTGTCCTTGTGGCGCTGCCAAGGCATCGCTCACCAGCGTCACAAGCGCATTATTGTTGTTGTTGTTGTTGTTGCTGCTGCTGCTGCTGCTGGCACTCGTGCTGTTGTTGGAGCCGCCGCCAGCTCCATCGCCACCCGTGCCACTGACGGGCATATTGACAATCATTTTCCGATATTCGATTTTCGCTCTTCACGTTCACGTGGCAAGGTAGCCGAAAAAAAAAAACAACAAACAAAATAGCAGACCGCAAGACGCGCAAGGACCAACGGGAGGGGGTCGAGGAAAAAAAAAAAATGAAAACAGAGTTTGCCTTTGCACTGCTAGAGAATTCCGTGTGGCGCGACCGTCTCGTTCTTCGACTGGCCACGGAATGCCGTGCGCTGTGCCACTGAACTCGACGCGACTCGCTGAACGAACGCCTCTAGTTGGCAAGGAGCTCTGCCCTAATGCCTTTATGCCTTTATGGCACCGACTGCGTGCCACAACGACTGAGCATTTGCGCTCAATGCTCAGCAACTTGCCGCTCATTACCCTTGCGCATTCAGTGAAGCACAAAACTATCGACGTTCAACGTCCAACGTCCAACGTCTCCCAACATTCGACCCCCACCCAGTCCATAGAGCACCGGCCTTCTGAGCCGGGCTCAGAACCCGGCCCTGTCCCGCTAAGTGGGTAAATGGTCTCTGGTTCTGCTTGGTCGCACTCTGCCCATAATCGAACATGTGCGCTCTCCTGCCCAGGCAGGCGCCGCTCACACAGCCTGTGGGCCGCCATTGAAGCGTGTAGCGTGGCAGCGTGTTAACGGTTCGCACAGACAGGCACCCTGTATCGCAGGTGTTGCGCAGGATTGGTTTGTCAACAGAATTGCGCCTGGTTGGCAGCCATTGCCGTTGCCCAGGGCTACGCCGAATTCAAAGCTCTCTGGGAGATCTTGAGCGGGCGCCCAGTATGGTCGGGCATTGGCAGTTCGAGTGGAGCGCTACACCGTATCCTTGCCATAGGGTGCTACTCAATAGATTTCTATTTACAAACGCAACGATCTGTAACTCTTTTCGGAATCTCTCTCCTCTTCTTAACCGACTTAAAAAAGGACGAGGCTACCAATACGTCTGTATTTCCTTGAATTTTAGTTGTTGTTTTATTTGTTGTTTATTTGTGCCAACTAAATATATATCCACTTGTACTACTATAATAAACTCTATTGGTTCTTACTCTAATAGTCCCTAATGGGCACTCTAGAATTTATTGAAAGTAATCTATATTTATAGAAGCTTTATTTATCTATATCTATATATATGAAGGAAGTTGTTGAAAAAACGAAATTATAATTATAAATGATGATTATTTTTCCATTTGAAAGCTGCTGTTCCCGAATGGTCCCATTTCAATGGCATCCATGAGAAAACTACCTTAAACAGACCTCATTTAGTCCAAATAGCTGAAAATTCTATTCCTGAACATCATTCTCGAAACATCAAGTCTTTTTAAATGATAATAGTAGAAAAGCTAAAGTAGGGAGCTCCGAATTTGAAATACTCTGTACATATGTGTTGCATAATTATAGGATTTAATAAAATGAAGTGGTAATAAAAATAGTTCTATATTTTAATTTGAAGACTTTTGTAACTCGTAAGTGTATTCTTTAGATCTTAATGCATGCAAGAAACATAATAAATATATAAGACTTTTTTGCAGCGATTGATAATGTGGGATAAGAAAACAATATTGGATATATACATACTTGATATATGTATATATATGAATATAGGATTTAAAAAAATGAAGTGGTAATAAAAAATAATTCATGCTTTATTTGAATTTGAAGGTTTTTGTAACTCGTAAGTGTATTCTTTAGGCTTCTGTAGAAATATAAGAAATATATACAAAATAATTACATTTTGTAAGTAAATTTTTGCAGCGATTGATAATGTGGGATAAGAAAGCAATATTGGATATATACATACTTGTATATGATATATGTATATATATGAATATAGAATTTAAGAAAATGAAGTGGTAATAAAAATAATTCATGCTTTATTTGAATTTGAAGGTTTTCTTTATGCTTCTGTAGAAATATAAGAAATATATACAAAATAATTATATTTTGTAAGTAAATTTTTGCAGCGATTGATAATGTGGGATAAGAAAGCAATATTGGATATATGTATACATATATGATATATATACATATACATGAATATAGGATTTAAAAAAATGGAGTGGTAATAAAAATAATTCAGGCTTTATTTTAATTTGAAGATTTTGTAACTTGCTTAGGCTTCTTTAGATCTTCATGCATGCAAGAAATATAGGAAATATATAAAATTAATTACATTAATTAAGATAAGAGTGATCATCTGGGATGAGAAAGCAATAGTGAAGGGTTGGTTGGCTTACAATGGAGAACGACCCGACAATAAACTAAAATAAAAACGAGTGCAGGGTATTGCGAAATGTCGTTGTCAGTGCTAATTTTGTTGGTGCTGCTGCTAAAGGAGTGTTTCGAGCGCTGAGCAGAAGTCGCACATTCATGATCTACATATGACATACATACATATATGTATGTATGGGCATACTCGTATCTGGTCCGCCAAGTGATTCCCGGTGAGGTGAGCAATGAGGCGACGTCAAAAGCAGAAACACGTTTGGCTTTAAAAGTGGCGCGAGAGAGACGGAGACAGAGTGGGAGTGGGAGAGGGAGAGGGAGAGCGCGCGATGAATTGAGATTGAACGGTGAGGCAGCTCATGGAAATCCCACAAGAATTGGCTTGATAAGAGCTCGCACTCGGCCTGTGGCCTGTGGCCTGTGTTTGCAAGCGTCAGTGTAGCCGAAATGTTCAGAACAACAACGTTGCTGCTGGTGCTCGGGCTCGGGCTCGGGCTCGCTGGTGCGGCTTTCGGCGGCCAATACAGCACCAAGGACTGTCCGCGAATCAAACTGAAGCGGCAATGGGGCGGCAAGCCGGCCACGGGACTCGACTATCAGGTGCGACCCATCCGCTATGTGGTCGTTCATCACACGGTGACCTCCGATTGTAGCGGATTTGTAGAGTGCGCCGAAATTCTGCAAAACATGCAGTCCTATCACCAGAATCAGCTCAACTATCATGATATTTGCTACAAGTAAGTGTGCGGCCCGACCCGCAGCCTCTGAACCCTACTTATCGGCGCACCATGCCACCACCACTGTGCTCAGTTTTCTCATAGGAAATGACGGAGTTGTCTACGAGGGCACTGGCTGGGGCGTCACTGGATCCCACACTTATGGCTATAATGCCAACGGCACAGGCATCGCTTTCATTGGCAATTACGTGGGTAAGGGCAACTCTTCCGCTTCCTGCAATTAATTTGTAGTTTTTCGTTAACCTATTGCATTTCTTTTGCAGAGAAACTGCCCCCACAGGCCGCCCTTGATGCTGCCAAGAGCTTGCTCGCCTGTGGCGTCAAGCAGGGCGAGCTTAGCGAGGATTATCATCTGTTGGCCGCCTCGCAGGTTAGTGATACGAAGAGTCCCGGACTAACCTTGTATAACGAAATACAGGAATGGCCTCACTGGCTCTCCAATCCGTGAATGGCCACCTAGGCGTTGCTTAACCCTTTCACGGCTACTGGGCCAACGAACACAACAATTCAAGATAATGGCCCTTTCTCTGTAAAAATAAACAAAAATATAATAAAACCTAACAGCGTGTTAATTCTGTTGAACCAGACAACGGATGTCATTCCTTCGTGGGAATTTCATCATTTAACTGGGAGTTATTATCTCCGTTTAGGTACAACTTAGTGGAAATAAGAGGAAGCAGGATTCTAGTAGTGGCACATTTTTATTTTCATAACATTCAGGACAGTAAGCCATCCAATTGTCGAAATTGTCTATTCCAGCACAAATGGAAGATTTCAGGCTTTCGCAGAGCCTTAGAAATCTCTTCAAGTATTATCTTGACTTTTCAAATACGACTTTGTCACCAAGGGGTTAAGCATGTGTACAAATTATGTTTTATTCTCTGTGGTAATGTCCAAGAGATGGCGTTTTAAGTTACATTTGCTAAAACCTTTAAAATGTGGTCGTTTAGTAGTGCCCTACAGATGGCGCTGTACTGTCAATTACACCTAATTCTGTTTTTGCACGGTATTTTTTTACACAATGTTGATATAACACGGTTTGAAAATTAAAAATTGCATATATCCAATCACCTATTTTTGCATATGATTAATGTCTTTTTTTACACGGAACCATTCTACCGTGTAAAAACAGAATTAGGTGTATAGATTTATGCGTTTTCTTATGAAAATATTTAAATCCATGATTGCCTCAAAGAATATTTTATGTAGCACCGTTTTAACGAAAAGTTATCATTTCTGAGTACCTTTTTAAGCAAAAAGCATAAAATTGATTAAAATACAAAACTTGTATAACAATGACAAAAAAGTACCAGTTTTGTTAGTAAAATACCAAAAGTGGCAACCGTATTTAAAGACATTTGCGAATGTTGTTAAAACAGGAGTGTTTTCTCTATTGCATTGTCCGACAGGTGGCGTTTTTCGGAATATGGTTGGTGTTTTGGCTAAGGTATTGATGGAATTCTATCTGTCCTGCTCACTCTAAGGCGCACCTGTTCAAAGCGGCTAACACATGCGCACAAACACGCTGCTTACTCTTATAAATGCGCAGCGCACTATGGCTTTCGCTTTGGCGCGACTGTTTTCAGTTGTCAGTCTGTTGCTGCAGCGAATTCGAGACGGACGTATGGGAAACTGCGGCCGGGCGATTAACACTTGCTATTGGAATTAACTTTCGTCATAGATGATGGTGTTGTTGTTGTTTGATGTTCTTTTGTGAGAAACTCGCAACTTGTTTGCGTTTACGTTTACGTTTGTGCGTGCGACGTCGTCAGCGTCTATATTTCCGCATTAAGGAAAACAAATAAATTGTTGTTGTTTGTTGTGCGCGTTTTAAGCCGCGCGCTTGTCCGCGTCTTAGTCGCGACCTGTTGCAATACACACACACGCACACACACATATGCACACACACATATGCACACACACCGAGAAGTGTAGGTGTGTGAGTGTTCGTCAGTACCGGAGTGTTTGTGTGTGCGCACAAATTGTTCGTTAGTTTTTGTATTTTGTTTGTTTTTTTTTGTTTTATTTTGGTTTTTGTGTCAAACCGCAATACTAAACTTTCTACTGCGCGCGCGCGACTAGCGACATCGATGCGTTTTATCAGCGATTTATCAGCGTTGAAAACAACAACACAGAAAATGCAACGCAATGCAATGCATTTGAACAGTTTTTAAATGCAACAAAACAAAATAAAACCAATTTTTGTTTAAGTTTTTCATTTTTGTTGAAGTGAAAGCGTGTGAAAAGCTGAAAAGCCTGCCTGCCTGCCTGCCTTAACATTGCCAAAGCTGAGGGCGACACCTTGACAGAAACCCAAACCCATATTTACATACACACATACATACATAATTTACATACATATGTATGTACATACATATATACTTGTATATGTAAAGTGACGAAGCGACAAAAGCAACTAGCAGTTGCTTCTGACAGAGTGAGAGAGAGTGCGAGAGGGGGAGAGAGCGAGCCTGAATCTGAAACATTTAACCTCTTAATATCCTGTTTTGTGGCCAAGATGTTTCCGGCCGGCTTCCATACATGGGACTAATTGAAACCGCAACTGTTGCGCCCTACCACAGCATTACAGATAAAGGTAAGTGGCAACAACAAGCCCAACCATTGCAATGGCTGGGAGTGCCGCATTGTGGCAGACACTGAGTCGCGCCTAAGGCTTATCAGAGTGCTGCTTAACAGGTCTCATTAGCTATCACATTAGTATGAGTATAAGTATTAGTATAAGTACACGCGAAACAATGCAATGGCTTTAAAGAGCTAACCATTGATGACATAAGTCTGTCACTAAGTTCATTACTTAGTAGTTAAGTTTAGATAAAGGGCTTAGGTGCGAAAGTCGCTTACACTTGAACTGGGATTGGTCTGCGTTTTGTTCTCTGGGCTGCCAGACTAAACATGTACTCTGGCCGACGATTATATATGCATCTTGGCTAGATCCAGCGTGACTAGCTCCTTAAGCATATACATATTAGTTCTCCAAAATTGAATAACAACACTCATATGTACATATATATCCACAGTTCCCTTTATACATATACTACAAGTAGTATATTGACACATACTTGTAGTCCACGAAAATCCAGTTGGGAGTTATAAATCAATGCAGAAACTATCACACTATGTTGGGAAAACGGTCCCAAATAGACTTCTTTAGTGGAACAAAGCCCACATTTGGACAGGTTCCAGTTGACCAATTAGTTGTCCATATTTAAGGTGCTGCATGCATTATTTGAGCGTATGAGTGGCTTCTCACTTTCCACACCCAGGAAAAGGTGCAGCCCATACCAAGAAGAACAAACAACAGCGCTCGACTTTAAGATAGCCTGCACCCCAATTTCCTTGAACTCGCCCATGCTCCCTATTTCTCAACCTAACTTGAATGCGAAGTATACATAAGTATTTATAATACATAGGTATGTGCTTTTTAAACATCCCCGGTTATGTATCGCCCTTTGGCGATAAATGAAGTGAACGAAATGTAGACGGACTTGCTCAAAAGCTTGAACTTGCTGATTTCGAATTATAAAAAACAACTATATAATTATCTAAACAGTATTAGTAGTACTCTTGATTTTAAAACAGATTTGAACCGACCATGCACATACTTATATACAAAAATGTTTCGCTCAAGCCCCAATACTAATACGACTGAGAACGGAAGATGTTTCCAGATTTCCAGGAGTAAACATATTCTATTTTCGTACTGGACATGAAATTATTTCTGTTTGGAGTCATTTTCTTAAGCAACTTCTGGTGATTTGATTTTGAACTGCCATCAATCAGAAGAGAAAGACTCCAATATTATATTTGTTTAATGGTAGTTTTAATTTCAACGGCGCGAACGTTTCAATTTAAATCATAATTATGGGTATACGAGTATGTCTGCATGCACCTGATTCGTCAGATATAGACTGCCATTTATTAAAAATGAAAATATGTTACCACACCCTATCAGCTATATCAAATATTAATAAGCAGCCACCTCAAAATATTTCCTACTCTTTACATCTGGTCCTAACTATTTTCGTCACAACTACAAGCATTTTCGATTACCGATGTTATCTCCAGACTTTGTCGTTACATATTTGTCGAACATTTTTCCATAAGAGTGGGAGCGACGCAGACTGTTCACACATTCAACATTTTGGAAAAGCGCTTCTAAATGAGAGAGTCTCACGAGTTTGCTCCAATCGGCCAGTTTCTAGTAGTAGTCAAAAGCATTGTATTTGTGTATATCATGTTTTTAAAGAATTGTCCATTCCCAAAACAATGATGTTGATACCATAGTATATTAAATTATTTAACCTTTCTGACAGTTTTCGTTTCAAAAACTACCCAAAGCTCTAATGGCACTGCTGGAGATTTATGGAAAATACTTGTCTGTAGTCCTTATGGTTTTAGAAACTGGTTTAATTCTCATGATGATGAGCTTCTTTTGTCGATTAGTAAACATTTCTTTATTTTATTTTATTTGGTTTAAATCAAATTTGGTTGGAAATCAAAAATTGTAATTGTATTTAATAATAATAATGACAATTTTCTTTAATTCGTTGGGAACTGTGAAAATGCCAAACCAATAGATGGGCTACGAATATATTGTTCCTGAAAATGAAATACTTCATTATAGTTTCATTTCTAGTCGAATATTTTAACAGAAACAGAATGAATTTACAGATTTCTTTATCTATATAGTAGCTACAGCAAAGTAATTGAAGTTCCATTATCTGCAACTTGCAATCTTCAAAATGAGTAAAACTGATTTGCTTCCAGCTTAATAGTGGAATTTGTTATTTTATTTGGTTTAATTAAGATTTGGTTATAAATCAAAAATAGCAGGGGATAGTAATACGTAATAGATGTAGTACGAATATATTGTTCCGGCAAAGGAAGGACTTCAATTTTGTTACTTTTCTAGTCGATATATTTCTTTTGGCTTAACCATCAAATATTTCAACAGAAATAGAATGAGTTTTCAAATTTCAAGACAGTCGAAGTGAAGTTCCATTTAAATTGCAATCTTCAGAATGCGTAAAAGTGATTTGCTTTCTGCTGAAAAGTGGAATTGCCACAGCAGATTTCGACTCGTCCATATTTGTAAGGCGTGTTGCCAATGGTTTGGGTCAACTCAAGACCAAATTGTGGCACCTCTACTTATGGTCGAGGCATTCAAATGATTTATATACTTGTATATTGTAGCAGTATAGTGTGTTGTTACCGTTGCGGCTCTTGTAGTGTTTGTTGTTGTTGTTGTTATTGTTGTGTTGGCCTTTTTTTTTTTTTTTTTTGAAAAAAACAATTTTGCACATTTTTGGGCAAGCATTTTAGTTTTTGTTGTTGTGTTTTGTAGTTGCTTCGTTTTTGGCAAAACGCTGTAAACTCTTTGGCTTTAACTTCGGCTCTGGCTGCTGTGGCGACGTCTGCCCAAGGCACACATATTTGGAGTTTCGGGGTCATCAGCTCTTAAAGACGCGACGATAGCGCTCACAATTGCCGGCCACCAATAGTTGCGTACATATATATATATATATATATATATATACATGTAAGCAGAAAA